GAGAGAGAGAGAGAGAGAGAGGTAAACGGCTAACAAAGCATCCAATTTGAGAGAGAGAGAGAGATTACCCTCATAAGTGTAACAGTTAACAAAAGCATCCAATTTGCCATGACACTTCCAGGCCTTATCAACGGCCTCATCAAAAACCCTCTCTCTCTCCTCATTCATATCCAACTGAATCACTTCAACACGACCCCCATCCATCACAGAGTTCGCTATCTTACCGGCAACTTCTCGAAGGCGATTCTCATCGCCCATCAACACGAGTCTACCATCAAATTCAAACATCAGAGAACGGAAAACAAGACCAATTCGACAAAAATCATCTCAATCACTCCAATTAATGAAGAAAAATTCCCCAATTAAAGCAAATTCCCCAATTAAAGCAAATTCCCAATTTTCCCAAACAATTTTCATTCGAGTTTATTTGCCAAACCTAGAACCATTTTGCGCGAGAGCAAGCGCAATGTTGGAGGAAACAGCGTCGCCATTAGAGACAAGCAAAACGCTCCTGCCAGAAAGCTTCATGCTCTATACGACACCAATGAAAACCCTAAAACGTTTATCCAATTCAACAAGTTAAGGCAAAGTTAGAGCCCTACTGTTCAATCAAAACTCGAAGAGATCCATGGAAAAAACAAGGAAACTGAGGCACCAACCTGCTTATTCTTCTTAACGATAAATGAAGCTCTACTCAATGCGTTGATTGAGGCAGTTTTTCTAGGGTTGGGTACGGATTACGCATTAATAAAATAAATTTTCCAAGGCGCTATAAAGAGAAAACCAAATTACCGCGCGAAAAAAGTTGCAGAACTTCATACTTCACTGGTGCAATACATGTACGGACGAAATTTCGCCGTGAGTAAAATATCGGCGAAAAGGACTTCAGAGAAGGGGAAAACGTTGCGTCATATTTTCACTCCGCATGCGACGCGTGAAAATGATGCATCACGTTGCACGTGTTTTAAAGCGCTCTAAAATGAAATTAAATGATATTGATTTATATTGTATGAAATTAAAACATACACATGTTGATATTTTTATAAAAAGCTTGCAAATAGCAGATTTATTATTTAATGATGCACATTCTATGGAGTGAAAAAATAAATATTGATATGTATAACTAAGTTATGAGTTTCATTGACTCTAATAACAATAAAATTAACGTACCCAAAAAAATAAAAAGAAAATAAATTAAAACGTATAGCTACTTTAAGAGTCTCATTAAATGTAAGAAGAAGAAAGATTGAATCGTAGTTAAGATACATAAAGTATAATTTTATTTTATAAATGTGCACTTAAGCTTGAACAATTACGGTATTTTTTAAAAGTTTTTAGCACAATTTTGTAATTTTAGATAATGTTTATGATTTCAAGTTGTTTTCTTGATTTCTTTTAATGTTCTCTCTACCTACATTATCTTCGTCTCTCTTGCATACAAAGTATCACATAAGAATATAATATTATATTATAATGATACCATGTAACATCATTATATTCTTATTGCGATGTTATTAATATCTTCAACATCATAGTATTCTTCTTTTATAATAACATTTATTATAATATAATACTATCATACAATAAACGTACTGTTATATAATATTATGTTACCATCATATGTTATCTTAATATATTAATATCACATATAATTCTTATTAGTATTATGATTATATAGCAATATTAATAAAAGGATAGTATATTATTATATAAATCATTATAAGTATTATTAGTAGTCCTTTATAATAAATAAAAGGTTGGTTATTTTTGGAAGGAGCAAAAAGTAATTTAATGATCCTTTAATACGATGCAAAATTTGGGCTTGAAAATATTGTCTAATATGGTCCTTTAGGAACATATTGTGTTCTTAATCCAACATGAAATTGAAAAACTTAGTAAATCTAAAATTTAGGGATATGTGATTATATGACTAAAATTTAGGGATATGTAATTATATGAATATTTAAAGGAAAAAGTTTATATAATGCTGCAATCTTAAAATGTAGAATTATAGATGCCCCTAAAACATCCATTGGAAAATATTATTTTAATGTTGAAAAGTCCTCTAATTGATCATCTGAACATTGAGATGTATGAATATGAAAAAAATAAATAAATTTTGAATCCCTGAAATAGTGCATCTTGCAGCATTTTATCTAAACCATCCACTTTCAATATTTTCATATGTTTATAGATCTACTTGCTTTTAACTATTTTTGAAGTTTAAACTTTTATAATTATATATGAAAAAAAGATTTTCACATAATCTTAAGAATTTTTTAGAGGCAAATTATATGTTATGATAAAATTAAAATTTGGAGGTGCATCTTAATTGGATTGTTTAAGGTTGCAACCTTATAGAAACAACACCTATATTAAATAATAAAAAAAAAGATTTAAAAATTCAAAATAGAGTTTTCAGTTGATAGATCATACACATGAGGATACACAATCAAATGATATTTTTTATATTTTAACACGTAAGATAGAGATAAATCGTATGATACAATTCGATTGACAGGTAATCACAACTCCGTTTTAGTAGATTTATTGATAAACACGTGGCAAACCTGAGGCTAATTATTCTTCTCATACGAACCTATCATAGTTCTCTTTATTTTCCATACCTCCAAACCTAAAGTGAATTTCTTGCTTGACACCTAGTTGCTCATGTTTTATATGTAGAAGATTTTCAAGCCAAATCATTTGATGCTCCCTGGGGAGCACGAAACTCAATCCAAGAGCGCTTTTGCTTGGAGATGTAATTCAAATACAATCCACGAGCAATTTTAGACTTTTTAGTTTTGAGGATATATCCTTTCAACCTAGTAAATCTAGGACAAAAAAAAAAACTATGCGTCATGTACTCCAAAAAAAAAAAAAAACATTTTTAAAGATTACAAGATCTACTTTTATAGAAGGTCATAATTATTTATAATCATTTGGTGTGAAATCTAATAGCTACAGTGTTTTACAAACTTCGAGAAATTTCATTTGAATTCTTAGCTTGGTCAATGGAATAAATGCAACCGCTAATTTTACATCTAATGATCGAGATTAATTGTGAACATCTTATACCAAAGATAAATAGTCTCATTGTATGACTTTCCTCTAAAATAATAGTTGTCTTAGTCGAATCCCAAATTTTATATGGGAATCCTTCTAAATAGATCTCTTGCCTCAAGGAGTCTATAAACCATATGAGGGGCAAGTTTTCTATGCTTCTCCTACAACATAAAACTTATATACTTAGGGCTAAGATTGCCCCAATCACAATCTCACATCTCTATATTATATTATTCTCAGATTTTTTTATAAACTATTTTGACACCATATTTTGTACATCCAATACTCTATTGAACTTGCACTAGCAAAAAAACTAATAAACAAAATATTTTCAATAAAATAAAATAACCAAAATACCTCTTAAATTTTCAAGCGGTATTGTCATCATATTTTATCGAAAATTTATTTTTAATATTTTTTATAGTCGGGGAAGCTTAGATCTTCTACGTTGTGGGGGAAGCATGGTAACATTTCCCTACTATTAGAGCTTATCTTTGTTTTTTGGTTGGAGTTAGTATTTTTTTGCTTGTGCACGAGATAATGATTTATAATTATAATTGGGTGTGGTTTCTATAAAGTTGCAACCTTAAACAATCCAATTAAATGATTTATAATTATAATTGGGTGTGGTTTCTATAAAGTTGCAACCTTAAACAATCCAATTAAAGCATACCTCCCAATTTTATCATAATATGCAATTTTTGTGTAAAACATTATTAGGATTATATGAAAATCTATTTTCATATCCAAGTGTAAAATTTTAAGCTCTAAAAATGATTAAAACCAAGTAGATCTATAAACATGTGAAAATCTTGAAAATGGACGGTTTAGATAATGTGTTGCAAGATGCACTATTTTTAGGACTCAAATCTTCTTCTTCTTTTTCTTCATATTTATACATCTTGATGTCGAGATGATCAATTAGTGGGATTTTCAAACATTAAAACAACTTATTCTAATGGATTTTTTAGGTGCATCTTTAATACCACATTTTAAGGTTGCAACCTCATATTTGTTTTTTCTTTTATAATTTATTTTTCTTCTTGTTTTTGTTTTGTTTGGGGGTACGATGTATAATTTTATTCTCTTATTTCCTTTTTCTTTGGTTTTTTTTAATTGTGGGTGGTTGGACCAAGAATTGTGAATGAAGTTTGAATCATAACGATATCGATATCTATAGTACATTATTAAGCAAGAGTTAGGAAACATTCCCCATATTTAGGGGAAGTGAGATACTAAAATTGTGTACATATAAAGTAGAGATTTTAAGAAGAGAGAGAAAGTAGAGATTTTAAAAAGAGAGAGGATATTGTTTTCATATTTTATTGAGAAATAGGAGAACTTTTTTTCCCACTTTCCTAAATTTGTGACTGAAGAGTAGAGAAAAGTGGATCTCATCACCATTTCTTAGTATTTTATGCGCAAAGAGTATATATTTTAGAAGAGAGAAAAAATAGAGATTTAGGAAATGAGAGAAATAGAGATTTTAAGAAGAGAGAGAGAGATATTTTTTCAATATTTTAATTTGAGAAATACTATATTTGTCATGTTTTTCGTCTATATTTTAATTCAAACTTCCTAAAACAAGTACGCCCCACCTTGTTTTATCATTCGAACTTCCCAAAATGAGGTCTGCCTTTGCTCTCATGAAAGTCTCTCGTTCCAGACTCTTGGGGGGATGATCTCTGCGACTACAGGCAGAAGGTTTATCTCACTCATCATGCTCTTTAGGCCCTTGGCTCTACCCACCTTCCCATTTTTACAGAGAATGAATTTAGAGTATTATACACCACCGGGTTGGGCTCAACTCCCTGGTTTTTCATCAATTGTGGGAGTTACTTGAAACCCATCAGAAGTGCTATTTATTGCCTACAAGCCAAACGTGTACTCTCTTTTTTCTTTTTTTTTTACAATGTTATGTTATTTTATTAATATAAATAATTGGAAACAAAGAATTACACATAAATCAAAACATTAATATAAATGATTGAAAACAAGGAATTATACATGAATCAAAACATTAGAAACTAAAGGAACATCAAGGCTCGCACCAATGGTCAAACCATCATCTTCAAAATTGGCCTTCCAATAAACATGTTGAAACGAACCAAACTTGGCTAAACCATCGGCTACAGAATTGGCCTCCCAAAGAACATGTTGAAATGAGACCATCAAATTCTCACATATATCCATGACCTCCGATCACATCGGCAAAATTTTCCATGGCAAATTCCAGATTCAACATGTTTTGCCAGTAAAAATCCCTGGCCAAGTCTACTTTCTCTCTCACTAAGACATTGGGGATTGAGTAGTACACCCTGGATATCATAGAAGAGAGAGAAAAACCCATTCATCGAGCATTATAGGTTTTGTCCATAATCACTGCTAACTAAAATCACAAATAAAATAAAATAAAAACACTTCCAAAAATCACAAATAAAAAAAAACATAATTCAACACTTCAACCAATCTAAATCAGAAATAAAATAAATTTTAATACAAGAAATCTGAATTTTACATAGTTATTTTCCACAATAGCTACTGAAATTTGCAACCGTATGCAATGAAAAAACAATACGTTTATTTTTATTTTTAAAACTCATTCATTTTTATATGCAACCACAACTTTGAAGAATAATACTTAGGATAAGGTTTTATCTTGCACGAGATAAACCCTGGCAGAGCCGGGGATAAACCCAATATTTGGGATTTTTTTTTTTTTGGCAAGGAATGTAGTTTTTTGGAAAAAAAATAACACGATTTTTTAGGTTAGAAAAAAATAAAAATTAAAAAGAAAAA